GTTTTTAGTCGTTTTGTACGCCGGATCACGTGAGATTTTACAGGCCGGCGTCTCATCCGCTATATAGAGAGTCTACGCGACTCTCTCAATATATTTGTCAGCAACTAGGTCAAAGCAGAGCAAAGCTAAGACAAACAAATCAACTATATACACCCAAGACAACAGAGCTGCCCAAATTAAATTAAGACTCACTACACAAGTGACCAGTTTTGATAGTGTATAACGTGTAATGACTATAACACAGTTAACCACAAATACTATGCTGTATATTCGGAGGAAGCCTAAAAGTCAGCCAAGCTACACCTTTTTGACTAAGCCACTATCAGTTATATATAATACATTCTAACAAATGCATGTAGATCATAGAAGCTCTCAATATCACATCTGTATCTTGTTTGGACTAGCTTTGAATATTATCTATCCTATGCTATATACCTCCAATCCATCCATAAAAAGACCCAAGACGGGGGTGGGTGGCTGGTAGGACCGATGCCTTAGAAGTTGTATTGATTTTATCTGCACTCCCAGGAGGTAGATAAGGAGTTGCCCAATCTCAGATTCATCTCTCTGCCTTACGCCACGCCACGACTCTGTATTCCTATTCTGTAAAAATACTGCATGAATGAGATTCCTGTAGCACAATCAGTGAGGCAGTGCCTTATACTCTCATGCATCATACAAGTCACCTCTCCAACAGCAATGAGATCTCCAGAAGTAGTCTTCACAGCAATGTCTGGGACACCCTGAGAATATGCCAGGAATGTTTGTGAGTATATAAACTAGCAGGCGAATGCAGGGCATTTTTTGCGAGCGGAAGCAAGGCATAACAAACGGCACTGACGGCACTGACGCGTAGGTGGGTGCGGAGAGAGTAAGCGTGGAAAGCCGAGAGTCGAAGAGGCCGTTGGTTGTAAAGAAAAAGACGTACAGCACTTCACTGGAATGTCACCGACAAGAGATTGGCCAGAGTTACGTCCCTAACAATACGCAGAAAAACACCGACTGGCTGATCCGTGTTTCAGCAATGGCACCAGTGCCAGATCGTGTGAAAGTCAGAGAGCACCAGTTTAGAACGCTTCTTCGCTTTCAATCCTGTGGAGCGGTCGATTGGTCGGTGGGCGGTCTGTTGCATTGGCAACTCCTTAGCAACAGTGATGTTAAAGCGATTATGTATGCGCACTAGTTTGGCTACAAGCATTTAGAGTATATACCGTGCAGTCATATAGGGGAATACCCCATATTCTCTGTATTCCCGATATGCCCTTGCCGAAGGTCCTCTAAATATTACATAATTTCAGCCCTTATTTGGAATATGGAAGTATGAACTAAACAAACCTAGCAAGAATGCAATAAGTTTTGTTTAACAGTTTTTTAATTTAGCCTGGATAATATTGCCATATTCTCTCTATGACCTCACACACATTCAATACATACTGCAATGTGCTGAGGCTTGGACATTGATGTAGATGCCTCGTCCAAAACTTCACTTTGTATCTCGTAATGAATATCAAGCCCCCCACTCTCCTTGAACGATGACGGAGTGTGTCTGCATGAATATATAAGGACATGTGTATAGCAATTAACATACTAGTTTATGGTGGAAATTCTTTGGGTGTGGGGAGCATGCACACCCACAATGCTAGGGCTTCCTGTGTCACAGCAGCAGGAACCTATTAGCACCAGAAAGCTGCAAGGTGTGCCCAACTCAACTACTGCTACAAGCATTTGAGGGTTGCTTTAGTGGTTTTGCCATGGCAGAGTGGGGAATACCCTTGGTGGTGTGCGCAATACAGCAGCTGCACATGTGTGCTGAGGGTTCATAAACTTACACTCTGAGGACGAGGTTATGTTTTGGACACAGGCTGTTTGACCGAACCACAGCTACTAGCTCCCTTGATATACCCTTCATCGCACCATTTGTCATCCCATTCTGCAACCCATCCATTATTAGCTGTTGCCAGCTGATGCAAACGATGATCCTATAATACACACGGAAGAAGTATATGCTGTGAATGCATGTCAAGGGTCATGACATGACAGTCACATGTGCACCTTGCAAAATTTTAATGCCACTTAATATCAGAGTTGTGTGACAGAATTGTTACATAGGGAAAACTGTGCTATAGACCCTTCAATTATTATTCATTATTAATGACATCTAAAAGAAAAAGTGTGCATTAAATAGAATACCGCTCACCATAGCCAGTCAAAATTAGCGGCGTTAGAGAGCAAGCAGAATATATACCTGTCGACAGTTTGTCGCACGCTGGCGGCATCAGCAAGTAGCGTTTACAGCAATACTGGACTGCACATACGTTTCTCCACAGAGCGCCGGGCATTTAGAGGCAAAGGCAAAGAGGCGAGCAGCAGAGTAAGCGTGGGGGCGAGGGTTGATTAGGGTTTATGAGACACGTGCGCTAGGTCACATCAACACCTCACATACATAGTTCCAGGTTACAGCAAAAGGCCTTGACCTAAGTCAAGAACAGGAAACCCGTGTGTGTCATCTTATACACAAGCAGCCAACTTGTGTAATACACATGTCAGCTGCACATAATGTATTCTTACAATTTTATGAAGGGAATAGGTGCTAGTGTTAATCTAGTCCCTCTTCCTCGTCCAAGTAGCAGATAGAATTTTTTGACTTTTGGTGCAGCGTCTCAAGGCATTCCTATGCAAGCGATCGACACACGGAAACTCTCCTATGAGCGTATGCTCATCTTCACCTCATCAGAGCCATGTGTCATACGATGGCTTCTCTGTTCTTTTATCCTATCGAGACATTTTGAGAATGAATGACCAATTTCCATGGGATTACTAAAAAAAACAGACCAAGCACGATATTATGATAAAGAGTATCACACATATTCTACTAAGAGAGTGCAGCAGAAGCAGTCAACTGATGTTATATGCAAAATTTAGAGATACTTAATTGCTGCAATAAATAAACTTAGCCAACATAGAAGCAGAATAAGCGAAGGATACAGCTTCAGTAATGGTCTAGTCAGCTGGTGCAATTTGCATAAGGTTCTTCTGCGGGCATAGAGCGCAGCTTCATTTGTTGTCTCATATAAGGCCAACTAATTGTTTTTTGGGGCACAGCTGGACCGGTCACAAAGGCGGCGGCTCGAAAAGGGTCCTATTGGTGCAAGTGTGCAGCTCGACATTGGCGTTAAACCTGAAAGATGAAGATGACTCGTGCTGGCTGATGTGCTCGTGTCCAGTATATACACCATTGCTGTTACGGAGCTATTGGAGTTAACGGTGTCTATAGTTTTTTTGGATGAGAAGATGTTCGGGAAAAATGGTAGTGTCTTATGCTGACCGCTCCAGAGAACTCCTGCAATTGTAGGGTCTATATGTGTTCCAATATGATTTTTTGATCAATTCTTATACCCATTACATGCGAGCGAAACGTGCTTTGGTGTCCATCGGCTGGGTGTCAGCTAGTCAGAAGACTTCCGTGGGATGGGGAGAGCGCCGAAACCACACGATAGCAGTGTTCCTGAGTCTTGCTGTGCGGAGGTCACACATGGGTGGGTGGAAAAAATCAAAAAAAACACCGAGTGTGGCAACACATGAGCAGTGGAAAAAAGACGAGGGGACCACCACAGCCAAAAAAAGGACTATGTTTTTTTTCCCGTTTCCCATCCCCGTGTGGGTGTGTGTGCGTGCTGCTTAATGGACACGCACACTAACATACAGTTCTATAAATACATACATACCCACCCTCTTCCTCCGGTTCCCTCGTTCGATCGATCACCAGGCCTTCATCTGGAAGGCCGAAGGAGCTTGAACTCTCGGCTATCTGTCCCGTCGGAGATTCTGCATCTCTCCGTCGTGTCCTTTTTTTTTTTTCCCTTTTCGTCGGCGCATCGAGAGAGCAGCTCGATCGGAGCTAAGTGCTGGCAAAACAACTGGCAAGGGCTCGGGGACAGAGACTCGATCCGGAGGCCCTATGCTGCACAAACTGGCAGAGTGGCTCGGGAGAGAAGACTCGATCGGGGAGCTAGTGCTGCACAAACTTGCGAGTGGCTCGGCACGGAAGACTCGATCGAGCTAGTGCGGCACCAACTGTCAGAGTGGCTCGGGCAGGGAAGACTCGATCGAGCCAGTGCTGCACAACTGGCAATGGCTACCGGGGAGGAAAACGTCGATCGGAGCCAGTGCTGCACAACTGGCAGAGTGGCTCGGGGGGGACGACCTCG